AGGATGGTCCTCGGGCAACGTGAGGTAAAACGTTGTATCACCACTCATATTCGTAGTGGCGGTTTGTCGGTTAGAGAAGCTCCCACAGTAGAAAGAGCATGGTTCCTCGAGAAGTTCTGCTTAGTGTGGATGGGGGTATGGGACTTCATTCATGCATTGCACAAGTAGACTTTGAGAGGAAGCATGGTATTTTATGATATTATAAATATTATTTTTATGTCATGTTTTAAGAGTTTTACAAGCTTTATATATTGCATGTGTCTTATTGCTTTATATATTGATTTCAGTTATTCATGAGTTGAGCAGAGCCAAGGTAAGTGTTCTCTTGTACTCCTTTCAAGCTTAAGTTGTGGTTTACCTTTCCAGCTCGCATACTCGTACATTCAATGTACTGATGTCAGTTGGGCTGCATCTTATGACGATGCAGACACGGGTACCCAGGGTCAGCATCCAGCACGCCGTTGATCCAGTTGAGCACTCTAGAGTCAATGGTGAGCCTCCTTGCTTTCCGGAGGACTTAGTTGTTTTGTTCTTTTAGTTTTGTTTTAATTAGGATGTTGTGGGGTCTGTCCCAACATCCATCTCAGTATTGTAGAGGCTTCATAGACAGTCAGTCAGTTAGTTTTGAGTCTCTCATCTATGTATATATATAATATTCTATTTTGGGACTCGAGTTGCCTTTTTGGCCAGATTTTATCAGTTAAGTTATTTTATGTCTTTGCATGGCATTGTGTTATTCTGCTGAGTTAGGTTTCCGCTGAGTTAAGAAAGCCAGGTCAAGGGTTTGCTTGGGGCCAACAATGGTCTCCGGGTGCCGTTCCCGCCCAGGGTGTAGGCTCGGGGTGTGACACTGACCATTTACATCACCCTATTCGTAGGCGAGGAAAAGGTGGTGTTGCTGGTAGGAGGGCACGTGCTGCTGAGAGAGGACAAGTTCCCGTTGAAATGGACGAAGCAGTCTTAGAAGATTATCAAGCAACTGGTTATATTGGTTCCACTTCAAGGAGTCACACTCAGGAATTCCCTCTTGTGGCATCAGGTATGACATATCAACCAACAAATTCTGAGATTGTCCCATACATGACGCCACAAATTTCAAGGGATCCAAGTCTTTCGTCACTTGAGAATGTCTTTGGTAATTATCGACCTCAACATTTTGAGAATGTCCCAAATTTTACCTCATCGTCTGTGCCAATGTCCATGGAGATCCTTGATGCCATGAATAATTTAGAGGACTCCAACATCGAGATAGAAGGTAATGAGTTGGATGATTCCAACAATGAAGTGGATGGTAATGATCCCGAGAATGCAAGTGGAGGTGGTAAACCATACAATTTTTCCTAAGTTTTGTGGCACTGGTACAATTTTTTTAAGCTTTGGTGAACCATTATTTCTTAACATAACTGCTTCTTTTTTGGTTGAATAATTAAAAATTATTTTTACTTGCCAGGGAGTCATCAACTTAACCAACACGGCATAAAGAAAACAACAAAAGGTAACAAAGACACTGTAGCAACAAAAAGAAGAAGCAAAGAATAAATCACAAGGCGAAGACTTCCAAGTAAGCTTACTATTCTGTGAGACTGCAAAAACAACCATATTTTTAGTTGATTTTTCTCTTAAAGCTTGGTTTTCCGGGAGTCTTTTAGCTTTTAACTAGTATCTTTTATTTTTCATTTACTTTATATAGTGGCATGAAATAAATTTAAATGGAGAAACATGGTCAGTGATGATTCATATACCCACACGTAATTGATATTGTTGATTGGAGTTGCTGTCTGCATTTGGTTGTGTCCTACATCTGGTATGACTTATTATTTGGTTGCTAGTCCTTTTCTAAATCTCTGTTTTTATTTGGTTTTAGAGTCTCATGCAAGTGATTGGTAGAACTGGTGGATGTTGAAAGAGTTTTTTTAGTCATCTGGTGATTTTCTTTTTGTTGGTCAAATCCACTGTTTCTCATTGATATTTTATATTGGGAAACAAAATAAAATTGTGTATGAGATGAGTTTTATGTTGGTTCTTCTTCATGTGATATAGTAAGCAATTAAAGATTGTTGCTTTCTTTTGTTTTGTATTGTCTTATAGGATTATGCTTTCAAAACCAGGAGAAAGGACCTCAAGACCAAATTGGCCATCAAAACCAAGAGAAAAAAATTGCAGATTTGTTTGAGAGCTACAAAGTGGTCATTGGACGTATATTGTAATTACGTTGTGATTCCTTCAAATTGTAGTCCTTTTGCATTTTGTGTCAATATCTCAGTTCTAAGAAAGGAATTCATTGCAATTATTGATTCTTATGTCTTGCAAAGCAACATGTTTTATTACTCGCTGGAGACTTTTGTAATTTTGTAATTTTCTATTTTGTCTCCAGGAGTATGAATACATGGATGTTTCCAATTATGTAAGTTAATTTTACCTCAATGTCACTAAATTTTATTGTATAGTAACCATTGGGAGGTCTCATTCTTTATCTATTCATTACGTAGATACATTGTTATGTACATCAATCTTGTATTAGCTGTGTAATTGACAAAAAAAAAAAAAGCATAAGGCTTTATTATTAACACCAGAGAGTTCACAAGAGGAGAAAAATTTATGACATTTAAAGTTATTTCTAATTAGACATCCTTGAGTGACATTATAGTAGATAATTTATGACATCTGGAAATCTGGAAAATCTGGAAATCTGGAAATTAACACTAATAATTTTTTCTCTATTAGCAATCTGGAAATTAACCCTAGTTACATTATAGTAGATAACTGAAAGGAAATTAACACAATTAGACATCGGCCCACAACTATTTACTTAAATTTAATTACGATTGGGACATCGACGCCTATCATGTCTAGTCTGTCTACATAATCCTCAAGCTCGCTCATACACTGTAGAACCACGATCCATTTCATTAGGTATTCTAGTTGTCCTTGGCCGATTAGAACGATGATAGAATTCATTACTTCTCATTGTAAAACTTGGAGATGGCCAATATGCCTCATGACCAATTGGTGAGAATGACCCAGAATATGTTGCAACATAATTCTCTATTGTGAAATGCTCGCTAACAAAATTTCTAGCTAGCCCCCCCATTCTATCAGTTACCTTCATGACATGTGAACATGGGAAGTGCAAATTAACCCATTTTCCATAATCACATTTTCCTTCATTCAGTGAAACACAATGAGGATTACCACCAGTACCATCAACCTGTATAGATCTAACCTCGTATATCCCTGTGGGTATATTCAAATCAAAAACATAGTGCCTTTTTGAACTTTCATAATTCTTCTCCCACTTTATTTTGAACCTCCCAGTCCATAATTCATTTTGTTCTGCAAGTTGGTGCGCTATTTGAGATCTACGGGTATACCGTTCAATAGTTTGCTCCAATGAAAGTCTAACCATAGCAGTCACAGGCAAACCTCGTGCTTTTTTCAACACTCCATTGAACGACTCTGAAAGATTTGTTGTCAACACTCCCCATCTTTTTCCACAACCATGGCTAACGGTCCATTTGTCCAAGGGAATTTCCATAAGGTATTCATGTGCTTCGACATTTTCTTCTCTAATTTGCCACATCAAGGATTCAAACTTCCTTACTTGATGGGCTGAAGCAGCCCTCCACATCAATTTGCTGAGTGTAACATCCGGAAAATTGAAATAACTAAGAAGAGGCTTAGAATTTGAAAATTTTCATTTTTGGAAAGAATTTGAAAATTTTGGAAAATTTTGGCCAAGTATGGAAAAGGTGAATTTTTGGCCAACTTTGAACAGCCATAACTTCTAGCTCAGGATGTGTTAGGTGTAGTTCCAATTATGGTTGCATAGCTCATGGAATGGTATTTCCAACACCACCAAGTTTGCTCGATTCTGAGTTCGTATGAGTGAGTTATGACCTTTGAAAGTTGCGCAGTTGGCAGGGAATCCGTCCGGAAATTTTAAGGGCATTTTGGTCTTTTCACTAGTCATTTCTCTTGAGGTTATATTGTTGTGTTAGACTTATTGTGGATCATTTTCATCCCATTTTAAAAGAGTGAGAGCTAGGGCTTGAGAGTGAAGAAGAGAAGAAGAGAGAAAGAAGAGATTGGGTTGTGTTTTGCGTTGTAATCCATGGTATGTTGAGGGATATGATGATCCTTAGTGTTTGGGGTTGAAGCCCTTGAAGTAAGGGTGGTTTAGAGTTGGCAAAACAAGGGAGAAAAGTCGAGTTTCTGGGCAAGAGAGTTGGCGCGTCGCTCCTACTAGCGCGCCCCAAAAGGGATTATGAAGTTTCCCCCTTGGGGCGACGCGCCTCTCAGAGCGCCTACAGGCCCCCTCTGAATTTTTGGGGCTGGCGCTCCGCGCCTTGCAGAGCGCCAAGGACACCAAGTATCCCCTTTCAATTCATACCTTCCCATACATGTTCCTTGGTATTGTACCTATATTGTATGGTTGTTTCCAACACTCTAAGGTACATTTAAACCTCCCGAACTCATCTGTAACATGTGATCAAACACCTTGAATCCATAAATCCGATTCAAGGAGAGTTAGCTTCCAAGTCAAGTGAAGTTAGAAGTCAAGTGAAGTTAAGAGTTAAGTTCAAGAGTTAAGAAGTAAGTCAAGCAAGTTCTTAAGGTTGTTCAAGATTCTTTATTGAACGTTTTAACTTCATTTAAGGCTCTAGTTTCAATTCAAGCAAAGAGCTTAGAGTTTCAAGCTACGTAAGAGGTCTCAAATTTCAAGTTGAGTCAAAAGTTTCAAGTTGAATCAAGAGTTTCAAGTTGAGTTCATTTCTCAAAGTTAT